AACAGAACTTCAAGAACACGGCCACACAGCCCGGAAGACCCACACCACCCAATTGTCAGTTTACTCATTACTCTTTAATGAAACCTGAATGAAATCATACCTTGTCAATTTGCTCATCCTCTTTGGAAAAGGATAAAAAGAGTGATTTCTGTTTAACAGAAGAAACTGCCTTCTAACAAACCAGATCATTTGTCCTTCTATTTCAGTACTGCTATTTGATTCTTTTAATTGGCAGTGCTGAAGAGTGAACGAGACTCCTTCTAAAACAGCTACTGAGCCCACACTGTGCTAAGCTGCAACATGATTTGCTTGTTTTGACACTGTGCGGTTTGCAAACAATGGTTTATGTCTTAGCATGTTGTGTGAACCCAACTTGTGTAACAGTGTACAAACCCAGGCATTAAATTATGGTCCCTTCCTTAACTGACCTCTCAGGAGGGCCGATGACCACAGCTGCACAGACATGTCTGGGATCTTGCTGGCCAGCTGCATGGCTGGGACTACCATGTTGTTACTCTCCTAGAGATAAAAGGGTCTTGATCAAACAAAGTAGGCAATCGGACATGATTACTTTTCCTTGAATTTGCTGACTGGAACAACCACATCCAAATAAGAGGTGCAGGACACCATCTGTCGCCATTCAACACAACCCTTCATATCATACTTAATAGATTCCCAAAACGTCCCAACCAGGCAGCTGCCTTAATTTACCTCCCCTCCACCAGCAAAATAATGCACTGTTCCTTTCAAGAAAGTTTTATCTGAATATGCAAATGGTAAGAAACACTCTTTCAGAAAAGTCTGCCTGATTTGAATCAATCAAGTCTGTTTCAAACATCTGTCTACTGTCTGAAAGAACAAGACAGGACATGATGGATAATCTCTTATTAAGCGTTCTACTGTGATTGCATCATTTCTTTGTCACCACATCACATTCAAAGATGCAGCAAAAAACATTAGTCTCCCCAAAAGAGGCAAGGCTACTGTCCTGAGTCCTGTAGGCCATGTATGTGGATAACAACCTCAACAAGGCTTAAATCATCTCATTACAGGTAGTCCTCGCTTAACTACTGCCCTGTTTAGTGACTGTTCAAAGTTACAATGACGCTGAAAAAGTAACATTATGACAGGTCCTCGAACTTACGAACGTTGCAGCATCCCCGCAGTCACATGATCATTCAGGCGCTTCGCAACCAGCGCGCATTTATGATGGTCGCAGTGTCCCGCAGTCACATGATCGCCATTTGCAAGCTTCACAGCCGGCTTCCGACAAGCAAAGTCAATGGAGAAGCTGGCAGTAAAATCGCAAGTCAGTCATGTGATATCCCACTTAATGACCGTGGGTGATATGCTTAACAACTGCAGCGGAACTGACATAAGTCCAGCATGGTCACGTGATGTTTCACTTAGCGACGGGGTTGCGGGTCCCAATTGTGGTTGTTAAGTGAGGACTACCTGTAATTCATTTCTCAATGCATGCTCACAGTTCTTCTAGGTCACCTGCTTGACTATTTGCAATAAGCAGATAAATGGCAGTGTTTGTAGGATAATTTAGTGTACAGCAAAGAAGTACAGTAATTATCAATCTTCACATTTTATAAGGAGGAAAAAACTGGAAGATTTATAGTTACAAGTACTTCTCAGAAAGCCTTTGGAGTTTATTTTTTGGTATGTATCTGTGTGTGAATGCCCTACACTGCTTCAAATAAATAAACTACAATTTGAAGACTGAATTACTACAGATGTCACAAATTTTCCACACCATATGACTACCACCTCCCCCCTTCAGCCCATTGACAGGCATGTTGGCAAAACTTTATGTTAAGATTAATTTCACTCTTATCTCATTGGCAAAAGAAAAGTGAAGTATCAACAACACCACTGAAAAGGGTTTATTACTTACCCTGTGATTCCCTAACACGTAGAAGATGTGACCCAGAAGAACAAGAGAGCATGCTGTTAATCGGTTTAGATCTTCTGCATTTGACATTTTTAGCGTCTCTCGTAAAAAACGCCTACCAAAACAAAAGATTAAAAGAAAGAAAACAATTTGCACAATGCAAGAGGTTTACTAAAAACTGGCCTCCTCCAGCAACTATCTCAGCACCTCATTTGCAATCTGGACATTCCCAAAGTATCTATACCCTGGTTTTTCTAAAGAAGCTTTAAGTAGCAGAATTACTGTAATTTTACTAGAAGTCTTGAAGCTCTGCATTTATGGTGAAGTGCTAGGCTGGAAGCATTTTATCCATTCAATAACGAACGTAGGTATCTCAACAGAACAATCCAGACACTTTTACTACAGTTTAGTACTGTACAGTTTACATTTTTATACTTGTCCAGTTACACGCAATTAGGTGATCAATCTGCTAACCACAGAGATTATGCCGAGACTGGGGAGGACCAAGTGAGTTCCCAAGCTGATCAGGAGTAGGTAAAGGGTTTTTTGCTGGCATCCATATATTTAACTCTTGAGGGAGACCATGGTGTCGCTCATTCAAGTGATCCAATACAAAAGGCAGTTTCCTGCTTAGGTAAAGCAGATTCTTGACAAAGCGTTTGGGTGTTACCAAATAGCAGTGCGACTGAGCAGAATCCCGCTTTTGACCCGTCTTTTCACTCGAAGAAGAAAAGCTTTGTGACTTACTTGGCTTCATTGTACCTTCCTTGAAAGAAGGAGAACAGCCCTCGGATATAGAAAGCAGCAGCTCGGAGGCAGTGAGAGCTGGAGACAGAGCAGACACACAGCCAGGTAAGTGTGCATTAATGGCCCAAGGGGGGAATCACAGATTCAATTGCGGACTGCATCTTACCGATGAACCCCTATCGACAGATACATTATTCAAACTGTTCAGACTTGCTTTCAACCATTATTAGTATCACACTTGCCCACAAAGGTTGCGTATCAATCTCCAAAGTGTCTAAAGTGCTGGATTTAGGAATATGGATTCAGAACTGAGACATATAAAGAGGAGGCCAGGCAAAAATAAGCCAGAGAACCACATATTCGTTGGCTCAATGAGATCGTCCTTACTGAATCTCTCTTCTCAACACACAGGTTACGTATCGCAACCTGCAGCTGCCAACATTGCATCAAACCCTTCACTGCAACTAAGCTGGCTGAGTCTTCATACAGCAGCAGCCTGGAAAAGGCAGGCTGCTGAACACAGGCAGCTGATGCCACTAAAATCAGCTATCACCAGGAAATGTCTTGTTCCTGGCATCTATTTCCCTTTTTACTCTCAGTACTTGGTACCTTTTGTCACTGGCGCTGCTTTTCTCAAGCTGAACGGGAGTAGTAGCAGAAAACTGATTTCTATGCTTCTCTTCCTCCCTAAAGGGATTACGTGGAATATGCATACATGGAATAAATAGAAGAGAACATTCCATGTGCAACATTTCAATCTCCAAGCAGGCCGTTTCAAGGTTGACATGGGATGTTCTGGAGGCTGCTAAATTAGTTCAACCTCAACATGGAACTGTCCAGCCAAATTGGAACAGGCTTGTTTTGAGGCCACAGAGGTTCTGCAAAACTTGGAATGGAGGTAAAAATCGTCGGTTTCAAAGTCTGCAGCCTGGCTGATGATGTACTGTTTAACACAGCCAGCCTCCATTATTTCTGTCTTTAAAGAGCAGAGGACTTGTAGAAAGATGAGAAGAATGGATGGCAATTGCCATGCAACCTTCCTTTCAAATTGCTCATTGTTTTTTCTTTGTGTGCCTTAAAAATTCAAAACGATCCAAGCCCTAAGGTTGGTTTCAAAGGCCTATTCAGAAAGTCTTCCACCAGGGAGAACTGTTGGGATATTTTCTTGATTTTTAGGTGGACCATGAAGAACCACATTTAAACAGACCTTTCAGACTCTGCATGCCATTATTTTATAAAGGTTTACATTTTATTCTTTCTTTATATGTCTTCATACAGGAATGTATCTGCCACTTCTGTTATTTGAAAAGCAGGATGCAAGTGTAATTAATAACTAAGCTAAAAAGAAAGTTACAGAGATTGAAGTGCAGACTGACAAGGCATTCTGTACTGTTTTAAATGTCCACTGGGACAATTATCAGTTATTGTTGGTGATCAAACTGCCTGTCTAAACTTCCTGGCATATAAAAATGTCGGCATAAAACAGAGAGTTCACCAGTGTCCTGCAACAATGTAAAAGTACTGCTTGTGCCAAATAATCATTACAAGCCATCCAATATAATGGGAGAAAGCTTTACTAATTCACCTACCTCACAGGAAAATTGTGGTCTGGGTTTATCCTTTCCAACAAACTATAAAGCTGGAGAGGAGGAAGACATGAAGAAGCTAGTTAGTTTTTAAATCATGTTTAAAGTTATACAGGATAAAGGCAGTTGGACCCAAGACGTTTATCACATGAACATTTTCCAAGGCTTCCTGGGCATGGATTCTCTCGGATATGGCTCAGCCTACTTTTTACAAATTGAAAAGATTTCCACATATGACATAGCAGCATGCCTGGCTTCTGATGATTATACATGACGCATATCTCATGCAAATGAGATAACACACATTCTATTCGCAACTAGATTTTATGCTAAATTAGTGTTACTCAACCTTGGCAACTTTACGATGCGTGGACTGCAACTCCCAGAATTCCACCCACCCCATGCCCCTGTGGGGCGGCCCCGGTCGCGCTTGCCCCCCCCGCCCACTTTCGGCGAGCGAGCAGAAAGGCGCACACATTTATCT